TCCCTTAACTTGTGTTGTAAACGAAAATATTTATTACCATTGCAAATTTATTATTAAATTTTCAGGAGAAAGCAGCAAATGTACAGTGTACATATAGAATGCAATATGTATATACATGGTAATACTTACTGAAGACATTCCATCCATCAATGTTAGGAGTGTAGCTACTATTCGTTTCTCAAGTTCACTGTGTACATTCTCTCTTTTTGGACAAAGTGCATCTATTTCATCAATAAATATAACAGCAGGTGCTTGTCTTTCAGATTCTTTGAAAATCTCTCTCAATTTAGATTCTGTTTCACCATAAAACCTTTGAAAATGAATATTCATGAATATGAGTAAAACAGTGTGGAAAATTATTACATATGTACTGCAGTTTATTTTGATTCGTCCCTGAAATCAAAATCGGTATTTCCACAACCCATATGCAAATGAGGTCTGAGAGCAAACAAAGTAGTCCCTTCAGGAGTACAGTTTTTCGAAATAAACAATATTTAGAAGTATGATATTTTCCCCTTGGGGTACATGAATATACTTGCCGAGTGAAATGAAATTTGAACAACAGTGACGGTACTTTTATTTTGGCCCAAACTAATTTACATATCACCCATGCAATAATGTTTTCGGTATTTTCATGGTCGATATGCAAATGAACATGGTATTTTCATTGGCTACTGAACTATTTTTATTTTGTAAACACATTTTCGTCTGCTATTTTTATCCAGATCAAATCGTTCAACAACATTTTTGGCATGTCAGGTGTACATCACATGGAATACTACTCGAGATGCGGTGTATTCTGCTGTACTTTCACTCGCTTCGCTCGTGAAAGTACGGCCGCAGGATACACCGCATCACTCGTGAAAATAACTTCCATACGCAACGAAAGCCACGGGGAGGGTGTGGGGTTCTGTCATAGTATTGTATACTAGATTTCACTTGGGTTATATAGACAGGTAGTCACAGTGGGTATATTTTGTTCTGGTTAACAATCCAAATTATCTAATTGTAGAAATATTTAATGAGGAAGATACAATGGGGTTTCAAGTAACTGGCTTAAAAAACAAATCTAGTGACAAATTTGAAAATAAGACAATGTGAAATGTATTTAGTTACAGCATTTCATATATTACTTACTTACTGAGTACTTCAGGTCCATTGATTGTTGTGAAGTAAGCTTTGGTTTCATTGGCAATTGCTTTAGCTATGAGTGTTTTCCCAGTACCTGGTGGTCCATATAATAAAACACCTCGAGGGGGAACAATACCTGGTGAGGGAGGAATCACATATTCATGACCTGATTTAAGAGTTTACACTGATACATACCTGAAATGATATATTATACAACTAATATTTTAAATTATTGCTTTTTTTTTGTAAACATTTTTTGACAACTTATTTCCTGTAACAGGTTTATTTTATTATAGTGACTGGTGTATAAAAACACCAAGCCCAACAGGTTTACTAGTCATTATTAAAAAGAAAATATTACAGAGCTGTTGTATTACCTGATATGATACAATAAAACATTGACATAACAGCACATTTCTAAAAAAATTTGATCAGCACTAGATGTTTTATTTTTTGCAACCGAAACATCGCCCATGGGTAAGGTTTTTGATGGACAGTGTATCAGACAAATATGGTAGTTTTTGAATTATTTCAAATGTTTGTATTTTGACCAATTTTAAATTCAAAATGGACACCATAGTAGGGATTATCACATCTTCTGCTGTTGCCATGGAAGGTTTCAGCAGGCTGTGACAACAGGATGTGGGAATCAGCCTACTATTTTATTTTCTGTTTCTCATTTATTTGATGGAACTTTTCACTCAGCAAATAAACCAAAAACTTAATTAATCAATTTAAATGCCTTGCAAGAACCGATAAAAAATTTTTAATATTTTTTTTTTCAGGTGCTCCCTGTATGAGGGAGTGATCACCTGGGTCAAAAGTGAGACTAAAATGTGGTCTTTTGTTTACTACAAAGCGGCTGTGTACCTGTGGGTTTATTCTGTGTGTATTTGGATGTTTTTCTAGTGATTTCTCTAGGTGCAATGCAAATACAGTAGGTTTGTATTGTTTATCTGAGATTTGCAAGAGTTTGAGCTGGCAAACACTAGTGGTATGAGCCCTGAATTCAATCAATAGCCATGTCCATTCTGCCTACATAAGCGCCCTCATGTGACTTGTTTTTTAGTTCACAAACCACCACCAGAGGGCATCATCACTTACCAAGTGATTCAAACACTTCAGGACTTCGTAACGGTAATTCCACCATTTCTCTTAATATTTCTAGCTGCTTTGACAAGCCACCGATACTGAAATAACCAACTTCTTTTCTTTTATTCTTTAACTCTTCCACATTTTTATCACTAGACCTTTGCATCACTGTCCGAGTTTCACTCGATATTGTGAAGACATGGAGGTCTTTGTGAATTGTTTTTTGTCTGACATCAGACGGTGAAGTCCTGCGACACATTAATTTTTCCACGTTTGATGTCCGTTGTGGTGTGGATGTTTGGTTATCTGTAAGATCTAGACTACTAAATTTATCTGACAACTCAGATTCATTGAGTGGAGACTCGTCTGACTGGTCTGCTGATAGGTTATCACCATTAGCGTCTGTAAAACTCTGCATTGACAAACTCTCATTTATACTCGTCAGTAGCACATTGCTTTCCACACTTGTATCGCTACATGCTAGTACAGCTGCTGAACTTGATTGGTTGTCCTGGGCGTTATCACAATCCAAGAATTCTGATTGGTCAAGAGAGACTTTGGTACCATCAGTTCCAACAATTTTCACAATTTTAAAAAGACATGGCTTCCCAAAGTATGTCAGTTCAAGTTTGTTGCCAATGGTGACAAACTTTTCATTAAAATGTTTCAGGAGAAAGGCCTGGAAATTCGCTGTGTCCAGGAAGTTGAATTCCACCCTACATAAGTGATAAATAGAACAAAATAAAAAATTTTACATCAAGAAATTAAAGCGAACCTAAATGCGGCCTTAATTTATAGTTGTGTATATTCTAAACTGTATTCGAAATAATATTGCAGTGGTTTAATTTTGTTTTAATTAAAACTGTAGCTTGGACAGGCATTTGAAGTGCTTGCCATGGAGGCCATTCATGGAGGGGAATAATTAACGAACAAACATATTTAACATCCGGGTACTTTTCAAAGCTATGACGTTTTAGTATCTGATCGCATTCGTATACGCCATTGTACATAGCCGTTCATGCTGCCAAGCATTGTGTACTATTAGTATAAACTCAACTTTTATATGCACAATGTGCTTTTTAAAACTTGGGTTAGAGCCTTATGCGTTTGAACCACAGTATTCTGAGAGTGAAAGCCCAATTGCGTTAAAGTACCGTACTTCCCCGATCGTAAGCCCCTCCCGAGGATGAAGCCCATCCCTATGTTTTTACTTGGTATTTATCGAGTGAGAGCATT